TCTAGAATGTCGGTTAATATTGTTGGCCATTGTGTTGTTCTGTGTAACTGACCACTGATTCTTTGACTTACTCATTTAGCTAAAAATTGAGCAACTGGTATGTCCTCAGTTTTTCATGGAAACGCTCGTATTTGATTTTCGCTGCAATTGTGTGCAGTATATGGCGTTGTCTGCTGTTTGTACATGAGGAGCCTGAGTCTCAGAAACATTACACAGCTCCGGTTAAGGTCATTTTAAAGAGAGGAATGAGTAAGTTGAAACAAATAAACGTATAGGAAAACATTTAGACTTGCTCTGGTAATTTAAAAAATGGAACTTAAAACTTCCAGTTACCATTTTTTACTTAGTTTTTAAAAACGAAAATATGTGATAAAACTGGCACTTCAGATATTTCTGGTGTCATTCAGTTGGCTTAAAGAAACATAATATATTCTGTTTACAGAGACATACTGTATTTTTACCAGATTGCCTCCCCTTGGGGACTAATCCAAAATATGGTTTTAAAAAAAGAAAGCCATAACATGCCTATTTTTATAATAGTGTTTTATTTATAATAGTAGAAGTTTGGAGGCCACAGGAATGTCTAATAATAGTAAACAGATTAAATAATTTTGCTCCATCTCTTGATAGAAAATTTTACATCCATTAAAAATGATAAATGTTAAGAATATATGTGTACATTGTAACATGGGAGAATGTGGCTAATGTAAGTGAAAAACTCAGGCTGTAAGATGTACGACTGCTCTGATTTACTCCATGGTCAATCAGAAAGACTGGGAGAGAATGTCCAACAAAACACTTGTATCAGCGTGGAAGGATGACAGGCCAATTTTTAGTTTTTCCTTCTTTACTTACAAAATACTCTCTGTGGTTGGCTTATGACATTAAAAAACAAACACACACGGTACACGTTATCTCCCAGCTTCTGTGAGTGAGGGGTCTGGGCATGTCTCATACAGGTTTTCCGCTTCAAACTCACCCTTTGGCAAATCGGATTCGCCCTTTTGCAAAGCAAATTTGCCTGCAAAGGGGTGCATTTGGAGAGGAAAACCTGTATGTAAAAGGGAACCAGGGTCCCCCTGCCCAGGGCCTTACAGGCTGCGGTTAAGGTGTCGGCCAGGCTGCGTCGTCATCTGGACACGTGGATGAGGAAGGATCTGCTTCCAGGCTCATGCAGGATGCTGGCAGGATTCCAGTGAGGGTCCTGAGCTTGGTGGCTGTCGAGGGGGTGGGGGGCACCCCTAGGTCCCAGGCTGCTGTTCGCTGCATGTGCACGGCCAGAGCTGTCCACAGCACGCAGGCTGTGTCTTCAAGGCCTGCTTCTCTCTGGTTAGAGTCTGGTATACGACATTTAAAAAGATGTTTATATTCAGTTTTTAGGAACACATCCTCCCCAGGATGACATCACAAAGCAGAACTCGAGCCTCGTACTTTCCATCACGTTATGGTGATCTTGGCTGATGTGTTGCTTCGATATTGCACAGGCTCACAAATACCCACCCTGCCTGGTCATGTTACGTTTATGGAGTGATTTACTGATTGATCTGTTTAATATTTTAAGGTATAGTTACTCAAGTAATCTTTATTGCCATCTTTATTGCAATCTTCTTAATATACCCATTTTACAGATGAGGAAATTGAGGCCAAGAGGCTAAGGAACTTGTGAAGCTCACGACAGTAAGTGGTAGAACCAAGGTTTTCACCTGATTGGTGTGAATCCAGACGCCACACTCTTCACTGTTTGGCTTTATGGCCTCCCCAGGTAGTGGGCTGGGTAGGAGGGACCCTGACCCACCCGTTTTAAGATCTGCGTTTGGGTTCTTGCCCTCATCTCTGGGTAAATGTGGTCACGCCTCATTTCCTGTATTTGAAAAACAATGTAAGGAGTATAGCAACGCTGTCTAACTCACAGGCTTATTAAAAAGTTTCCTCGCAAACCAAAAAGTGCTTCTGTGTGACGGTTCTGAGGCCCGATTGTTCCGAACAGCCATTGGATGTAGACGGGGTGGGCGAAGGCAGAGAACTTCCAGTTCGTCCTGGGAGGCACCCCTGCAGTGGGTGTTAGTCATGCCACACCTCGCTCTGGGCTCCCTGCCAGCCTGTGGGTGCACCAAGGTCTGGAAGGGGGTCCCTGACATAACCAGCTTCAGGGTTTCCATGACACATTTCTCTCTGCGCAGAGTCAGGGTTGTGGCTGTCAGTTCGGATGTCCATTGTGTTTGATACTTTCTTCATCTCTTGTCTTTGTGTGAGGTGATGCCTCGTTCTACCTGGAAGAAATGGAGGAGTTCAACCCACTGTAGATCATTCATATTTAACTTTTTCATTTTAAAGTGTTTCTGTTACGTTACTACAAGTTTATACCATGAAATTCTACCAGAGATGAGCTCATGAAAGGTTATAGAAGGGTTCATCTTTTTTTTTAAGTTCTCTGTTTTTTGACTTTTGACCATTGTTAATTTCCTCAGATTACTGACCTATTAGATGAGACAGCCAATAGGACCTGGCTGAACCTCTGGTCATTACCTTACAGACTTAGCAACATGGCGTGGGCTGCCACGCAGAAAACCCACCTTCCCATGAGAGTGGAACTAGAGTGCTTCACATAGCAGTAACGGTTGTAAGACTTTTTTTTTTTTAAATATATTTTATTGATTTTCTACAGAGAGGAAGGGAGAGGGATAGAGAGCCAGAAACATCGATGAGAGAGAAACATTGATCAGCTGCCTCCTGCACACCCCCCCCACTGGGGATGTGCCCGCAACCAAGGTACATGCCCCTGACCAGAATCAAACCCGGGACCCTTCAGTCCGCAGGCCGACGCTCTATCCATTGAGTCAAACTGGTCAGGGCAGTTGTAAGACTTTTTAATGAGTGTTCTGCTAGCCAGGGGTGGGGAACCTTTTTTCTTCCAAGGGCCATTTGGATATTTATAACATCATTCACTTATTATAATTCACTTAACACATTTGCGAGAATTCTCGCTCCATGTTACACAGTGTTTTGCAAAGTATCATACTTTAAAAAGATATTAGCTTGTAAGAACATGTAATAAATAACTTCAAAATGCAATGGGTAATTTTAAAGTGTGCCTTTAACATTTACGTAAAACGTTTTTTGTACCAGGAACACATCCTTCCCAGGATGACATCACAAAGCAGAACTCGAGCCTCGTACTTTCCATCACGTTACGGAGATCTTGGCTGATGTGTTGCTTCGATATTGCACAGGCTCACAAATACCCACCCTGCCTGGTCATGTTACGTTTATGGAGTGATTTACTGATTGATCTGTTTAATATTTTAAGGTATAGTTACTCAAGTAATCTTTATTGCCATCTTTATTGCAATCTTCTTAATATACCCATTTTACAGATGAGGAAATTGAGGCCAAGAGGCTAAGGAACTTGTGAAGCTCACGACAGTAAGTGGTAGAACCTAGGTTTTCACCTGATTGGTGTGAATCCAGATGCCACACTCTTCACCGTTTGGCTTTATGGCCTCCCCAGGTGGTGGGCTGGGTAGGAGGGACCCTGACCCACCTGTTTTAAGATCTGCGTTTGGGTTCTTTCCCTCGTCTCTGGGTAAACATGGTCACACCTCATTTCCTGTATTTGAAAAACAATGTAAGGAGTATAGCAACGCTGTCTAACTCACAGGCTTATTAAAAAGTTTCCTCGCAAACCAAAAAGTGCTCTCCTGTGGAAGGCGCGTTATGCTTTCTCTTGGGAAGCAATACTGCACTTTAAAACAAGCCCTGAACGCAGTGGGTGAGGGAATGGCTGTAGATTAATTCAGCCAGGCACGCATCTGGTAGGTCTGTGCTTTCCTGCGGGGGGGCGACTCTCCTTAATTCCTTCATTCAAGAGACGTGGGGGAAACAGCACGCTTCCCAGGCATGAAGTGCTTGCCTTGTGACATGGCCCAGGTCCACTTAGCACAAGTTCATCAAAGAAAATAAACCACATGTCAGGCCGTGTGGGCGGTTCCTCGGCAAGTTGCTTGGCAGAGAGGCCAGCCTCAGCCTGCTGACCATCAGGTGGGAGTGGGTCCTGCGCCAGGAACAGAGGCCCAGTGTCCACTCGGCCATGGGGGCCGTCCCACAGGGAAGGCGCCAGGCAGCTCCGATGGAGAGACAAGCAGATCCGATGGAGAGATTGAGCTGCTTTTGTCCTGTCCCCTGGCGTGGTGGGCGCTGACTGTGGAGAAGGTTGTGTGGCCCCGAGATCGTATCTGATCTGTGCTTCTGTGTGACGGTTCTGAGGCCCGATTGTTCCGAACAGCCATTGGATGTAGACGGGGTGGGCGAAGGCAGAGAACTTCCAGTTCGTCCTGGGAGGCACCCCTGCAGTGGGTGTTAGTCATGCCACACCTCGCTCTGGGCTCCCTGCCAGCCTGTGGGTACACCAAGGTCTGGAAGGGGGTCCCTGACATAACCAGCTTCAGGGTTTCCATGACACATTTCTCTCTGCGCAGAGTCAGGGTTGTGGCTGTCAGTTCGGATGTCCATTGTGTTTGATACTTTCTTCATCTCTTGTCTTTGTGTGAGGTGATGCCTTGTTCTACCTGGAAGAAATGGAGGAGTTCAACCCACTGTAGATCATTCATATTTAACTTTTTCATTTTAAAGTGTTTCTGTTACGTTACTACAAGTTTATACCATGAAATTCTACCAGAGATGAGCTCATGAAAGGTTATAGAAGGGTTCATCTTTTTTTTAAGTTCTCTGTTTTTTGACTTTTGACCATTGTTAATTTCCTCAGATTACTGACCTATTAGATGAGACAGCCAATAGGACCTGGCTGAACCTCTGGTCATTACCTTACAGACTTAGCAACATGGCGTGGGCTGCCACGCAGAAAACCCACCTTCCCATGAGAGTGGAACTAGAGTGCTTCACATAGCAGTAACGGTTGTAAGACTTTTTTTTTTTTAAATATATTTTATTGATTTTCTACAGAGAGGAAGGGAGAGGGATAGAGAGCCAGAAACATCGATGAGAGAGAAACATTGATCAGCTGCCTCCTGCACACCCCCCCCACTGGGGATGTGCCCGCAACCAAGGTACATGCCCCTGACCAGAATCAAACCCGGGACCCTTCAG